TTTAATAGATGCATATTATGTTGTTACACTATCTTATGCTACAAATCCTAAAAGTTCAAAGTGGAGGATGTATTTCACTCTAGATATATTGTGCCAGTCTTTTACTTATTTTCCCCCCTTTCATTGAAATGTGATTTTACTTGTAAATAGCAAAGTCTGCATTTAAAAACACTCTTCACATTTATCATCTCTCAGTTATATCCACTCCCCAATATACATACATCCACACACACACACACAATGGAGGATAGCCATTTAGGGCATGTCTACACTGCAATTAGACACCTATGGCTGGCTCAAAGTTTGTGGGGCTAGGACTAAGGGGCTGTCTAATCGCAGTGCAGATGTTCAGTCTCTACCTCCACCTCACAGGGTCCTAGAGCCTGGGCTACAGCCAAGCATCTACACCAAGGATGGCGAAACTTACTGACCCTCTGAGCCGCATACAACTGTCTTCAGAAGTTCGAGAGCCGGGGTGTGCCTGCAGGAGCTTGGCGCGTCAGCCCTGTAGGAGGCACCTGCTGGGGCTTGGGACTTCAGCTCTGCTCCTGCTGAAGCCTCAAGCCCCAGCAGGCATGCCGCACAGGGCTGAAGCCCTGAGCCGCTCCTCACTGATGGGCAGAAGCCCCTACCCCACCACCCCGCTGCAAGGCAGAAGTCCCGAGCTCCCCACACCCCACAGTCTGGTAGGTGGAGAGTGGGGGAGGCGATCTTCACAGGCCACACTTAAAAGCAGCTCTCGAGCCACAGTTTGGCCACCCCTAGTCTACACAACAATTAAACAGCCCCATGAGCCCGAGTCAACTGGCATGGGGCAGCTGTGGGTTTTTAATTGCAGTGTAGACATAGCCTTATTTTCTCCTTTTATTGTATTTAGCACCTTGTGTAACAATACTGATAGATCAAGTTCATGCATTCATTAATCTTTGTATACAATATGTAAAAGTTTGTATCAACAAATTACAATTATCATTACAGTGTTGCATGTGGGTTAGAAGTCTTAAACAGTATTTATTATAAAAAGTTATGAGATGGTTCACTAACTAAATCAGCAGAGTTATTCTACTTCCCAACACCCAAGAACATCATATTGGTCTGAATGTAAAACCCTTCCTTGCCACAAGTTCAGGATATGCAAGAATATTGTAGCTTTCAAACCTAGATTCTCACGTTTCCATTTCTGCAACCAATGACATGCCCATCTTGTTCAAACTAATATCAAATTTTATTAACGGTTTATTAAGAAATATTTTCCATGAGATTCAGAGTGGGGGAAATAATAGAAATAAAATGACTCAGAGGAAAATAACAAAATGATCCTTTAGCACCATGGCAATATCTATCTGAATTATATATTAACACTGAACTCCTATTTTAAGGTATTGAGTACTCTTTGAAACTTTTACTAATGGGATCTATAGAATTTTAACAATAGGAAGAATTTTTCCTTCTCACAGCATGTAAAACTACATCCAAGAAGTTCTTGGTGTTTTCAGCCTAAATCACTTAAGAGAAAAATAAGGTACAGCTAAATGCACACAAACACATGCCATCAGTCAGCCTGACACATTTTAAAGTCTGAAGAGTCCATTGTTTTGAAAATTTCCTATCTCTCTAAAGCTATTTAGAATAAAGAATTTATTTCACAATGTTGCACTGCAGCAGTTTTAAAAGAAGAAAAAAAACAAGGAATACTAGCTTTATGTATGACCAAATATTAATTTTCAAAAAGGCTCTCATTGCCTAAGGTGCAGAGATACCATACAAAATCATACAACCTATGCTGGTTCACTAATTTTACAGCATTTAGAAATTACTTATTCCTCAACCCACCCAAAAATCAACTATTAATCCCTTACAAATTGCTTCTATCTGGATTAGATTAAATTTAACTCCAAACCCAACTAAAAATCAATGGAAAGACTCAATGAGGCTCTGGATCAGCCCTTTAAAATAAAATTTCACCCATTGCAGGGACCATTGATCTCTCAGTGTTTCTGAAGCACCCGTCTCTGCAACATCTAGTAGCTGCCAGTTGGTAGGCCAGATATAAATGAAATCATCCTGATGTACGGTAAGGGTTTGTGGATTAAAGACCCGAATATCTTCTCTGTCTACCAGGAAATGATCAGATAAAGGCACAGGTGGTTAAGATGAAAACCACCCAAAACTGTTCTTCACTCCTTTATCAAAAAGGCAAGTTCAGATCATTCATTGCATTTATCAGCCAGTACAGATAGTTCACTCCTTATTTTACAATCTTAGCAGCTTGATGAATGGACTAGATAAATGGACTTGATCATGGGCCACAGACTCCTGTGGATGCCCAATGGTCCAAATAACTGAAAACATGTGTGAATGGAGTCACTGCTGAGAACTACTTTCAAAAAATTTGCTCTATATTAAGTAGGTCTAAAAATACTTCCGTGAATCATGATTTTTGCTGTTTTTACTAGTGGAGGATTCCCCTCCCCTCCTCAAATTGGAGCTGCAGATACTCCATGCCTTTAAAAAAATCAGGCTCTAACTGTTTAACAAAGTACCAGTCATGACATCCATGAACCACTGCGAAGGAAAATACCACATTTGGCTTCTTGATCTCTTTCAGTCACATCAACAAACTATCCACTCTAGAAGAGGGAAGGCATCTCAACAATAAGCTTTTTGACAAGCCAGAGGCAAATTAAAGATGGTAAATTAGCACAACTCTTGGGTGTTTTAGTGCTCTGGGAGCTTTAAAATGGGCATTAATGGTTAAAATCCTTAAATTTGCAAATAAATAAATAAAAACAAAAACAAACAAACAAAAAAACTTAGCTTCTTAGGAAAAACATTTTAAGAACCAAGAAATTGCCATACTGGATCAGACCAGTGTTCCATTTAGTACAGTGCTCCGTCTCCAACACTGACCAGTACTAGACGCTTCAGAGGATGGGGAAAGAAACCCTCATGTTACATGAAGTGACTGTTTTCTGCAATTTTTCTCAATAGTTTCTCTCAACTTTCTAAATATTATTTTCCTGCAGTTCAAGTATAAAGGAATAAAAAAGTTCAGGAGTGAAATTCTGGTCCCACTGACTTCAGTGAGGTCATGATTTCACCACAGAAACCCCAGCAGTCTGTCATAGAAATCCCACTTCACTGCACAATGAAAGCTCATTCTGGGGGAAGAAATGGATTGGAGAGCCTACAGTTACTATTTTCAGAACTCAGCCTTACTTCGGCTTACATTGTCCCCATTTAACAACATTAGCTCTTAAATGATGACTGCTTACATTTCACTGAGAAAGGAGATCATTTACTACTGCTTTTTTGTGGGGGAGATGGACAATTTTTTTTTGGTTTAGGGGGGTCATCACAATACAAAAACTATTTTTAAATGAAAGCTTACATTTCACAATAAAGAAAAAAATCCAAAAATTGCTCAAAGACCCTAAAGGTTATGGAATAAAAGAGCTTCTTTGTATCCACAATTCTCCAGGGCCTCATCTGTAGAGACTGTCAATTGTGCAACGAGCTAGTGGACACAATATTAAACAGTTTAATCAAACATATACTGTAGATGCCACTAACATTTTCTTCAACTGGTTTCTTGCTTCAGACAACAATGACGCAGACTATACATGATGTACACTAAGAGAATATCAAATCAGAAATGAGATCTTATTACACTGACCACGTCTAGTCTAACAAAGAGAAATCTCTTTAACCCTAGATACTACAGCAATACAATCATAATAATTAATAATGGAGAAAGATCAAATCCAACTAAATTAGTATACACCTGGTATTAAGGGTTTGTTCAGAGTTTTTGTTCATTTGTTTTATATTTTTAATTCTTACAGTTACAGAGCCAAATATACCACTGGGTTAACTAGGCACAGCTCTAATAAAATCACAGGAGTGGCATGCCCTTATTCCAGCTGTGAATTTGGCCAAAAATGTACTGCTGAACAATTTTGATACAAAACTACTGCACTCCTGTAGCGAAACACACTTGTAATACATACATAGTTATGACAATTTCTTTGGCCTGAGATCACCTTTAGAGAGAACAGCATTTGCCTTTCCACAAACTAATATCCTTTTATACAAATCCAAATATAAAAAGGTGACAAAGTCCATTAACTTGAATGAATTATTTGCAATTTTAAAAATAATATAGAAGAGCTGTAAATTACAACAGTGCTACCGCAGTAGTCACCATTACTGTTCAAATAATTAATGGACCCAGGCTTTCAAAATGTGAAACATACTGATTTCAACTTCTGAATTAGCATACAGAACAGTAGAATACAGCATAAAATGCATTATTTAAATGTCAGGTTTTTTTAAAAGGATATCCTCAAATTGCATTTTTTTCTAATACATTTGAATTTCTTTAAAAAATCATCTTTCCTCCCCGTAAAACCTTAAAAGATTGAAAGCAGTCTCTCTTACCCTGTAGATTTTGTATTCAGACACCATGTACCAGAATTACCATTAATGCATTAGATACACCTTCTGTTTGTTTTAAATTAAGCATTTCTCAGCAACAAAGGGCTAGGTGTTTAAAAGAAATGAATGATTATCATCTGGAACTGATTAAGTACTTTGAATTTTAAAAAATTAAGGTCAAATTTAGGATCCATCATCACTGGAACCTCATCTGTGGTACCTGACACTGCCCCTTTTATAGAAGGGTGTCACTTTTCTTAACTTTATGAGGAGCTATGTACTAATCTTACCGTTCGGTTTAGCTATGATTTACTTTATTCATATATTTCAGGGCTAGAAGGGACCATAATTATCATCTAATCTTACCTCGGGACTCATAACTCTCTCAAAACAAGCTACTGCTTGGTAAAAAGCATTAAGTGGCATCCTGCTATTTGTAATGTCCCTTTCTTCTCCCACATTGTCTCACTTATCCCCAGCTGTCTACACAATGAGACTCAAGAGAAACAACAAACACATTTTTAAAGAACTGAGTTGAGGGAAACGTTTCTTCACTTTTGTACCTGTTTCATCAGGTGAACTTGGAGAAGCACTGTCCTGCGATAAAGTCGTCCAGCTGGAGTCTTCATCACTTGGAGCCAGATTTTGAATCCGATGTAATGCACAATCTGTTTTGGCTCCGGTTTTAGGATGGTCCTTCTTAGTCTCAGGACTTGATGACACAGTGGCTACTTGGCCATCTTCTGGACTGGACAGCTTGTTTTGTTTCTGAGGCAACACATCCCCATTGACAATCATGGTAGAAGCCTGGCTGTTACTTTGTGCCGCTTTCTCCTCCATCACTACATGGCTGTTCCCAAAATTCTGTTCTAGTTCTCTGGCTGATGTTTCCAGATCTGCATAGTAATTTAGGAAGCTCTTGGTCCTCCTAGGTTGAGAGGAGAATATTTCACAGCCTGCAGAATCCTGAGGGGTAGGCTCTTTACCTTCTAACTTCTCAGAAGTTATGTTTATGCCTGCAGTCGTAGTGAGATTTTTATTGGGATCCTGTTGCCCCTGTTCTGCTGCTTTTCTAAGCTGATTTTCTCCATTCTTCACCAGCTTTATATTGGCAGAGTTGTTCCCCAGAAGGGGCTGTGCTGCTGGATCCGATAGGCCCATGGCTGTCTGAATGTTAGTTAATGCATATTTTTTCCTGCATTTCGGGGGAGTGCTGTTCCTTGTTTCTGTATGCTTTATTTCCGCATTCAATAGTTCATTATGGGAGGAGCGTAGATTAAGAGTATTTGGGGGAGTGGCAGGATTATTGCGATTCACAACGTCTGTTGTGCTATTGCTTGCCATAAACACAGCCAACGCGTCCACACTGGAGTCAACTAGAAAAGAAAAAGAAATATTCATGAGATACATTCATTGTATACTCCTTGTATCAGAGCTTTTGGAAATGGGATGCAACACTTTATATAACGTGTAAAGAAGAGTTTCTACAAACTAAGCAGGAGGGAAAACAGACACCGCAACAGAAAAGATCAGTTTATCAAACATGGAGGTCCAAAGGCAAAAAGGGTGGAGATGACATTGGGGAATGTTAAATTGTTAAGAAAAATATACAAGGTTTTTGACCCCAAATTTTATTTGACATTTTTGAGCTACTATGTTCCAACTACGTACATTTTGGGGAGAGAGAGAAGTACTTTGCATCTGCTTTGCAGCCCTGAAGTTCATCATCCCTCTCTCTCTCTCTCACACTAAAACTTAAACATTTCACCACCTCATCAGCCAAGGAGTAGGGCAAGAATTTCTTTAGGACTCATCAGCAGTCCCTGAAGAGTGAATGGCCCTACAGACCAAAGCAAGACACTACTCCCTTTCCACCCTGGTAGCAATGAAACATAGTTATTGCTTATTTTAGGGTAGACTGGCAAAGCCCGATATTGCCTCTTAACAGCTTCAAGAAACGTACCACAGCTGTTTGCAAATTTTTTTGTACAGCTGCTTGCTAATTTTTTAGCAATTCTCTAGTGTTTTTATGCATGCATGCTATGCTGTTTTGTTAGCTATAGTGTTTTTATAATACTGTATATATTTAGCAACAATTTTTTCACATCCACACAAAAAACACAATTCGGCAAATTTATCCCTGATGCAATTCTACTGATTCCAAAGAAGTTACTCCAGGGATGAATGTGGCCCACTATTTTTATAGTGCACCACATCTTTGGCTATTGATAAGCTGTACTTCCTAAGGGAGACTGCATATATTCCATAACTGGACTACAACATTCTTTTACTTTTCTTAGTGGTTTGCAACTTGTGGGCAAACTCTCTGACCTCAGCTTCTCTGAGACATTGCTCAAGCTTTCAGAGAACTAGGCTTGGGTAGGGAGAGCATTTTCAGACTGTGATGAAATGATCAAGTAAAGGATTTTTTATTTAAAAAAAAAATAGTAGTCTTTGTTTCCTCTGCTGCCTATTGTCACTGCCTTGGTAAAGTATGGCTCCCATTAATCATAATAAATACTCCCTGAATGCTTCCTGTTACTCACTCTTTTGAGAGATGCAAACGAACTAGAGGCCAATTAGTAATCACTCCCTCTGACAGAGTATGAAGCACTCTGTTGTTCCTAGTTCTCAGACAGGTCTGATTTGCGATATGCCTGTTGCACAATAAAATGAGGGCTTGGCTGTAGATATATCCATGGATTAAAAAAAACTATAGTATAAGCCAGCCACTGGGAGAGCATTCTAGTTAAGATATATTGCACCTTTGAGTATTCAATATGTGAAAGAAGAGACTACTGTAAAATGTGAATTTACAAAAAATTAAGTACTTGTGGGCTTTTTCTTTATATACAAAATAAGGAGCACTATATGAAAGGTTTACTTAAATTCAGGTACACTTGTTAACCTTACTGTTTAACTCATTTTCAAAATTACATATTTCATTTCATTTAAACCTTAGAAAACAGAATAACGTATCCTTTACTCTCTCTTTTCCTCTATGTCACAGACGTATAGTAACTTCCAGTCCTAAGGGGTGGTTTACAAAAGGGTTTAAACACACGATTTTTCATGATCTGATTACTGTGATTTCCTCAAATTCTGGTCTGTTAGCCTTCTAACTTTAGTTTTAGTTAATTAATTAATAATACATGTATATTTTTATATATTCCAATTGTAACCATAGGAGGTTTCAAAAATATCACAAAGTTTCTGAAATTTGTGTGTTTCCCAGAGGTAGTTAAATACTTTTAAAGAGTTGCCATCTCACATCTTATCCATCAGATTGATCCTTCAAGATGCAAAGTAATGTCATGACTCATCTGGTTGAGGTCTCAACATAAAGTTATGCACAAGGGCCCTCTGTTATAAAAGCATGTATGTAGATTTTTTTGTCTTAGAACATGAAGTAACTTGAATTTATTGATTTGCTTTTTTAATTTTTTGTGGTTTGACTGAAACCTGAAGGCAATCTAGAAGTTAAACACTTATAGACTTTAAGGTCAGAATGGATCATCATGATTATCTAGTCCAGGGGTAGGCAACCTATGGCACATGTGCCGAAGGCGGCACGCGAGCTGATTTTTAGTGGCACTCACACTGCCGGGTCCTGGCCACCAGTCCGGGGGGCTCTGCATTTTAATTTAATTTTAAATGAAGCTTCTTAAACATTTTAAAAACTTTATTTACTTTACATACAACAATAGTTCAGTTATATATTATAGACTTATAGAAAGAGACATTCTAAAAACGTTAAAATGTATTACTGGCACGTGAAACCTTAACTCAGAGTGAATAAATGAAGACTCGGCACACCACTTCTGAAAGGTTGCCGACCCCTGATCTAGTCTGACCTCCTGCACATTGCAGGCCACAAAACCTCACCCACCCACTTCTGACTTATAACCTAGAATAGATCCATAACCTCTGCTGAGTTACTTAAGTCCTTATATCATGATTTAAAGACTGCAAGTTACAGAGAATCCACCATTTACACTAGCTTACACCCTGGCCCCATGCTGCCGAGGAAGGTGAAAAACCCCAGAGTCTTTGCCAACTTAACCTGGGGGAAAATTCCTTCTTGATCCCTAATATGACAATCAGTTAGACCCTGAGCATATGGCAAGACCCACCAGCCAGATACCTGGGAAAGAATTCTCTGTAGTAACTCAGAGCCCTCCCCATCTAGTGTCCCATCACTGTCTGCTGGGTATATTTGCTGCTAGCAGCTGCCGATCAGTTACATGCCATTATAGGCAGTCTCATATCATCTCCTCCATAAACTTATCAAGCTCAGTCTTGAAGCCAGTTAGGTTTTTTGCCCCCATTGCTATCCTTAGAAGGCTATTCCAGAACTTCACTCCTCTGATGGTTAGAAACCTTCATCTCATTTCAAAACTAAACTTGTTGATGAGCAGATTATATCCATTTGTTCTTGTGTCCACAGTGGCACTTAACTTAAATAACTCCTCTCCCTCCTTGGTATTTATTCCTCTGATGTATTTATAGATAGCAACCATATCTCCCCTCAGCCTTCTTTCCGTTAGGCTAAACAAGCCAAGCCCTTTGAGTCTCGTATGTAGGTTTTCCATTCCTCTGATCATCCTAGTTGCCCTTCTCTGTACCTGTTCCAGTTTGAATTCATCTTTCTTAAACAAGGGAGACCAGACATGCACATAGTATTCCAGATGAGGTCTCACCAGTGCCTTGTATAATGGTACTACCGCTTCCCTGTCTCTACTGAAAATACCTCGCCTGATGCCACCTATGACTGCACTAGCTTTTTTCACGGCCGCATCACATTGGTGGCTCATTGTCATCCTGTGATCAACCAACACAGTCAATGTAAAACTTTTAAGGAAAGGATAATTGTGACCCCTGCCAGTTTATGCCTGGTAGAGTGTCCATAATTGTATGCTATTTATGGAGGCCAGTTTTTGAAATCAGAAAATCATAGTACATTTCAGTAAAATAAAATGTAAAAAAAAATCTGACTATGACAACTTGAAATAAGATTACAATCTATATACAGTTAATTAAGAATTAATTCATATTGTTACAAGCAGGCAGCCCTGTTGTGAAGATTCCAGTGTCCACTGCAATGTTTTTCTAACTACTTTTTGTCTGGAACAGAATTCTTAAGAAAAATACATCTTCCTAGAAAAAGTTCAAACACATCCTTCCACATGATTTATTCAGTCTCCAGTGGATTACATTTCAAATGACAAAATCAACACATGGAGACATAAGTACAAAACAATATGATTATTAGTCTACTCAGCAAAGTAAAGATCTATCATGAATACTGACTCATTCCTAGAAAGTGAATCATGGGCTCAGGTTTTAAATGGCTCAACATGAAGTTATTGTACCTCACTGTTGTTTATACATTAACTCAAATGTGCAACTCCTAACTTTCATAGCCTAAGTTGTGCACATATTTAGATAAGGGAGAGGGGTAAGAACAGTATGTCCTCTCATGAAGTAGATTTCTGGTTATCTTCCATTGATCCTGCCCTCATACTCATCTATGCTCTCATTTACAAAGTGCTGTTCCTACGCTACCAGTCAGATCCTGCGGGCCTATGATTTGTGTTCCATTCCTTGTTCTACCTGAAACTGAAGTATTAAGCAGAGCTAGGAGCAGCATCAGTTAAAGAAACAAATGAGTTGGGAATTAGTATTAATGGGTGTGGGGAGGACTGGACACGGGTACATGGCAGAGAGAGGAGAACCAGAATGGAAATGAAGAGAGGAAAGGGGGAGGAGGAGTCAAATGGTAAGATAGGACAGGAAGAAATTAGGGAGGAAAGGAGTTGGAACCAAATCAGTAGGTGACAAAACAAGAGGTTAGAAAAAGGTGAAGTAAAGAAGAGAAACAACAGGAGGCAACAACCGACAAGGGAATATAGATGGAGAAAATCCATCCTGACATGAAGAGCACTTCCTATCTATCAAGGATGGAAGACACTGCCTGAGAAAGAATTACTGCACGTACTGGAAAATATATGAGTACTAAGGAGTGAGAACAGAAACCGAACATAAAGATAAAGAGTGAGAAGGAAAAGATAACACCCTACTTCAGGCACTAAGATGCTTTCATTCAGAATATCAGTTTGTCCAGAGGAAGCATATCCCAATTTGCAATTCAAAACTCCAGGGAATCAGATTTCTTTTGGCACCTCTTCTTCATTCACCCCCTTTAATCCTGAATCAGGTGCAACCATTTTCACTTGGTTACCTCTCACAGTTAAGAGTGTTCCTACCAATTCCCAAGGAGGTCCAAAGTAGTTCCCACCCATATTTCCCCCTCAATATTACCACTTTGATTTGGGAGTGTTTTCCACTCACTTCCCTCAGATGTATAAGTAATGTC